TTAATATACTCTCTTTTACTTTAATTATTAGTATTATAATAATCTTATATTTCTATTCCGCGCTAGCTATATTAGTTTATAAAAGCTTAAAAATTATAATAATATAGCTAAATACTATAGCTAAAAAAAATATAAAAAGTAAATATTATATATTAAAAAGACTTAAACTTAACGTTCTTGGAAAGCTATTATAGGAATCGGCCTTTTCTTTTAAACTAAGCTTTACTAAAGATTTGCCGAGCCTTAGCTACGGCTAGCGTAGCTAAGTTAGGCCTAGTTAAATACCCGTTATACGGGTACCCTTATATAGCAAGGGAAGTAGCGTTTTTTAATTTTAATAAAAAAAAAGAGATACTAAATATATATATATATATACGAGTTAAAGTTAAAAGTATACTAGATATTAATAATAAGGACTTATAAAGGGCGGCGTTATTTTAATAACGGTAACGAAGGTATTTCTAATACTACTATTATAAGCTACTATTACCTAAAGGGCCGCAAACTTAGCTAAGTAAGCGGCTTATAAAGTAGTAGCGTCGCGCGCCCTAATATCGCCGTTAATTAATTTATAATTAAAAGAAGGGAAAGTTAAAAAAGTAAAAAGAAATCTAAAAAAATAGTCTATTAAAATAGTAGGAGTATCTACTAATACTATGTTTTTATACTATGTTAATAATATCGAGAATTACCCGAGTAGCACGCAAAGGTAGAATATTAAAATAAATTTATTAAAATAAATAAAGCTTACCCTCTAAATAGCTAGAAGTAGTGGAAAGGTTAACAGTTAATAAAAGGGAGAAAATAGTTAAGTTAGTTAACTATTTTAGTTAGTAATTAGATTTAGAGTGTAATATATTTAGTTTTCTTTAATATATAATATATAGTACGGCCCCGGCAGATTGCTCTATTGGGGGGTGAGATTTCTTTTATACTTTTATTAATTATATTATTATATATAAATTAGGCTCCCCGACGGAGCAATTTACTAGGGCCGTATTATATATTTATTTTAAAGTTTTACCTTTACGTACTACTTAGATAATTCTCAATATTATTTATATAGCATTTATATATAGTATTAATAGATATTCCTTCTATTTTAATAGACTTTATTTTTAAATTTCTTTTTACTTTTTTAACTTTCCTTTTATAAAGTTTATAACTATAGATTAATTAATAATAATATTAAGTATACGACGTTATTATTTTATAATTATTTACTTAGCTAAGTTTACGGCCCCTCTAGGTAATAGTAGTTTATAATAATAATATTAAAGATACCCTCGTCGCCGTTATTAAAAAAACGCTGCCCTTTATAAGTATTAATATTTAATATACTTTTAACTTTAACTCGTATATATATATATATATATATTCGTTACCTCGTTTCTTTTATTAAAGTTAAAAAAACGCTATTTTCTTTATTATTTATCGTTATTGCCCTTTGGGGTCTAGCCCGCTTTATTAAGGGCCATCTTTACTTTTATAAATAAGTTAGTTTATTAAGATAAAAATTATATATTACTTTATAATAAACTTTAAAACTAATTATAGCCGGCTATAGCCATTACTAACTTAAACTATTATTAATAATATAATATATTAACTACTTTCTAAATAGCTAAAAACTACCCCCTATTTTTGCTCTATTTAATAACTTTAGAATATCCTTTTTAGTCTTTCTTAATCTACTCCTACGCTACAATTTCAAAGTATTAATAATAATTTAAAATTAATTAAATACTTTGAGGCTATATTATATAAATTAGGTATTAATAATAATAATATTAATATTAATATACTTATTTTAGATCTTTAAATCGATAATATTTAAATTATATTTTTTAAACCGATTTTACTATAGTTCGGGGTCTTTTAATATAAGATTTATAAAATTGAACTTTTAATAGCTATTAAAGAAGCCCTAGGGGTCGATAATATCTAGGTATTTCGGTATTTCGATAGTATATATTTAAGAATAAGTAGACGATTCGATAGCGATAATAATAAATAGTAAGGGAAATAGTGTTTTTTAACTTTAATAAAAGAAAAGAGGTAACGAATATATATATACGAGTTGAAGTTAAGAAGGCTAGATATTAATAAGGGCAGCGTTATTTTTAATAACGGTAATAAAGGTATTTTTAATATTACTATTATAAACTATTATTATTTAAAAGGCTATAAACTTAGCTAGGTATGTATAGTTTATTAAATAGTAGCGTTATACACTTAATAATCTATAATATTAATTTATAAAAAATAGATAAATATATTATAATAAACGTTACTTTTATTAATACTTTATTAAGAAAATAAAGTAATATAAATAAATCTAGATTTAATTATATTATTAAAAGCTTAGAATGAGCGTAAATAAATATAATAAATAAAAGTATTAAAAAAACTATTATTAAATAAAATAAAAAGAGAAAATAATGGGTGGTTTTTAACTATTTAGAAAGTAATTAATATATTACGGCGGGGTTATTAATATTTTAAGTTTAGTTAGTATTAATAGCTATAGCTAGCTATTAATTATAGTTAGTTTTAAAGTTTATTATATAGTAATATATAATATTTATCTTAATAGATTAACTTACTCGTAAAGGCAAAGATAGCCCCTAATAAAGCGGGCTAGACCCTAAAGGAATACTATATATTATATATTAAAGAAAATTAAATATATTACGTTCTAAACCTTACTATTAACTAAAATAATAGTTAACCGACTCGACTATTTTCTTTTTTTTATTAATAATTCTTAACCTTTTATAAGTTCTACCAGGGAGGCTATGTTTTACGTTTTCTAACTAATAGAATAATCGCGATTTTATTAACTAATTATGGTAAGTAATTAATTTTAGCTTTTTATTATTAGCCTCGCATAGACTCGGTTTATCTAAATTTATATAGCTTCAAAATTATTCTAGTTTTTATTATAATAATTAAAAGATTTTAATAAATCTCGATTTTTATTAAGTTTAACTAGACCTATTTTAATTACGGCCTTTAATTAATTAATTAAATTATTAAAGTTATAGTTCTATTAATATAATTAAACTAGAAAAGCTTATTATTATTTATTGTATATTTAACTACTAATTACTAGGCCTTTCTATTTTTATTAATTAATTATTATTTATTATTATAGTTAATTATGTATTTTATAAATTTAATTTATCCTCGTTATTATACTCGAATATTAATTAATTATAATATATACTCTATTTAATTAGCTATAGTATTAAGCTTTAAGCTCTACGAAGTTATTTAAGTATCCTAATTATTAACTAGGCTAGTATTATTAAAGAGGTAGGTATCTTTAATAAGAGAGGACTTAATAGGGTGCTATAATAAATAATATTTTGTTGTTAAATACTTATATAGAATAGTAATAATAAAAAAGTCTTTAATATTTTTAATAAAGTATTTTTAACGTTTTAATTCAATAATAAAATTAATATAATCTATAAATTAATAAGATAATAAGATGAATTTATTAATAGTTAATATTATTATTAATAAAAGTAAATATATATTTCTATAAATAGCTCTTTATATTTTATAAAATTAAATAGCTTATAATTATATAAGAGATAGTATTAGTTTATAAAGCTATTAAAGTATAGTAATAAATTAAAAAGGTAAAGAATTCAGTTAGTTAATGAAAAAAAAGCTCTTTAATACTAAATATTTATTAATTTTAATATATTTAGGCCGGCTTTTTTTTAAAAACGGTTTTAAATTAAGTATAATAAAGGTATTTATAGTAAATATAAACTTTATTACCGCTACCCTCTTTTTATAAATACGGGCTTTATTATATAATACATTTTAATTACTTAGGTAACGGTATATAAATTAAAATTACTATTAATATTATAAAACTTTAGATTTTTATAAAGAGTTCTGCTAGGGGGGCTGTGTTAGTTGGCTAGGGGGGCTATGTCCCACTTTTCCTAAACTGATTTGACTAATGAGAGGCTAGGGATTATTCTGATCGATTTTTATTACTATTAATTACCTACTTCTACTTCTACTTACTTACTTCTACTTACCTACTTTAATCTACTTACTTTAACCTACTTATTTTAACTTCGCCGTCGCCGCCCGCAAAGTAAAGCTATTATAATTTTTTAATAAAGGTATTATTAATTAACTTAATTACCTTTATATAGTTAAAAGAGTATAATATACTTAACTTACCGTATTTTATACTAGTCGTGACGATTAAAGAGCTTTAGGAGTACCTCTAGGCCTATATATATAAATATAGCTTTATTACAATTTAACGGAACGTTAATAATTACCGAAAAGAGCTTAGACTACTTACTCGCTTTAAGATTATTTATAACTATAATACCCCCCACTAGCCTCGTAATTTCGGTACCCGTATTACGTTTATTTAGAAAAATAATTACCTTTAATATAGAGTTATTTTTACCCGAGCTTTTAATAATTAATAATAGTCTTTTATTTTTAAATATATTACTTATAACTACGTACTTTTTTAAAACCCCTCTATTTATAAGCTTAATTAAAAACTTACCTTTATATAGTAAGTACTTTTTAAGACTATTTTTAAATATAAAGTTATTAAATTATATAAAATAATTACTATTATTCGAAACACTATACTTAGGTCTTTTATTAAATAAAAAGATATTAATAATATTTACTAGCGCTTTTATTTAAAAGAACTTAATAGCTGCTCTATAATTTAGTAGTTTATAAGTATTTTAATTAATATAGGATATAAGTACTATATATAATAGTCGCTAAAAGATTTTAATTAGCCTACGGGCTTTATTTAGACCTATTTATAATATAAAATTATATAAAAGCGGTTTTTTAAAGTTATTAAGCTCGATAATATATATAAAACTAATAAGTTTAAAATATTACTATTTTAAATAAAATTTAATATTTAGGAGACCTCTTTATTTCTTTTAAACTCTATTTTCTATATTAAGGTATATTTTAGTATTTTTTAGGTTATTAATACTACTAATATTAGCTCTTTATATAATTATACTTTCGGTTTTATTTTAACGGAACGTTATAAAGGCTACGACTTTTTTATTAAGTTTATTAAGTTAATTCGGGCCGAGATTAATACTAAATACTCGAAAGTAGTTATTATAGACTTTAAAAAGGTAATAAAGTCGGTCATAATAACTACTTAACCCGATACTTAGCTTTAGCTCTATATTTTTTATATTAATTAAAATATCTTTTTTAATATTAAAAAAAAATAAAAAGGGCTTAGTAAGCTAATTAATAAGCTCGATGTTATTTATAATAGGGAGGCCGTAGAGAATAAAGCTATTTGGAACTTTAATAATTAAGCTTATATTAACGAGGTCCTTAGCTACGGCTAGTAGTTTTAAAAAATTCTTTATATACTTATTAGCTTTTATTAATTATAAGCTTATATTAATTATAAGCTTATATTAATTATAAGCTTATATTATATATACTAATATTAAAGATAACTTTAACGCTATTTAGGACCGCTTATTAAAAGAGTTTACTAACTAAGACTTAGCTCTAAAATATATTATAAATACTTACTTTTTATTATAATATTAATAGGCTAACTATTTTATTTCTTAGTATAAGAACTTCGGTATTAAGATTAATAGTCCTATTAAGATTATTTATAAAGATTTAAAGTCTTATATTATTAACGGTAACTCTAACTTATATACCGTCGCTTAGGTAATCGAGGAGATATTATATAATAAGGCCTGTATTTATAGGGAGAGGGTAATAGTAATAAAGTTTTATATTTATTATAAATACTTTTATTATAATTAATTTAGAACCGTTTTTAAAGAGGTTAGTTTAAAAGTATTAGAGTTAATAAGTGCTTAGTACTAAAGAGCCCTTTTTTTATTATTAACTAACTAAATTCTTTACCCTCCCGATCTACCGCTATACTTTAATAGCTTTATAAATTAGTACCGTTTTTTATATAATTATAAACTACTCGATTTTATAAAGTGTAAAGAGCTATTTATAAAAATATATATTTATTTTTATTAATAGTTATATTAGCCGTTAATAAATCTACCTCCTTATTTTATCGATTTATAAATTATATTAACTCTATTATTAAATTAAAACGTTAAAAATAATTTATTAAATATTAAAGATTTTATTATTATTATTATTTTATATAAGTACCCGAAGAAGAAGAATATTATTTATTACAGTACCTTATTAACTCCTCCTTTTTTAAAAGTATTTACTTTTTTAATAATATTAGCCCGGCTAATAATAAAGGTATTCAAATAACCTCGTAAAGCTTAGAACCTAGTACTATAACTAATTAAATAGAGTATATATTATAATTAGTTAATATTTAAATATAACGACGAAGACGAGTTAGGTTTATAGAGTATATAGTTAACTATAATAATAAATAGAAATTAAATAAGAAAAATAAAAAAAGCTTAGTAACTAGTAATAAAAAGACGTAATAAATAATAATAAACTTTTCTAATTTTAACGGCGCTAGTAAAGCTATAGCTCTAATAACTAAGTTAGTTAATTAAAGGCTATAGTTAAAGTAGTTTTAATTAAAATTAATAAAAATCGAGATTTACTAAGATCTCTCGATTATTATAATAAAAACTAAAATAATTTTTAAATTATATAAGTTTATATAACCCCCCGATAGAGCAATCCGCCGGGGCCGTACCGTATATTACGTATTAAAGAAAACTAGGTATATTACGCTCTAAACCTAATTACTAATTAAAATAGTTAACCGACTCGACTATTTTCTCCTTTTTATTAATAGCTCCCGACCTTCTATTACCCGTCTAGAGGGCGAGCTTTATTTACTTTAATATATATAAAACCTCCTAGTACTAGCCCGTATAAATAGCTAAGTTTAATATAATATATTCCTTTTTATTAAAGGTTAGGGGACCCTTTATATAATCCTTTACGTTTATAATATAGCTCGTATCCGAGAGGTTATTAGCTCTATAAAATATAATTTCTAAACCAGCGTCGATATATTAAATTTTAATATCTATATTAGCCCGGCTATTTATAATATTTATATTATTATTTAGCTAGATTTTATACCGCTAGAGGGTATTACGCTACTCTTTTAATATATTTATATTAATTATAATAGCTAGGGCGTCGAGGGGGCCTAATTTATCGAGCCCTAGAGGGGGAGACCTATCGAAGGGCATCGTTAGCCCGCTAATTACTAACTATATATTAAATAGTTCTTATTGAGGTAATTATTTAACTAGCCGACTACTTAACTAATTATCTAACTAGTTATCTATCTAGCTAATAGTTTATATATTAATAAGTTTATTTAATAGTTTATTTAGTTTAAATCGAGCTTATAGGTAATATAAAAAGTAATAAAAATAAAAAAAATCTTTACGAGCTTTAATATAAATAGCTAAATATTAGCCCTTTTAGCCCTTTTTTTAAAAACCTTTATATCGCTATTAAAGTTTAGAACCTTTATAATTAAAGGCCACCTCTAACCTTCATAGCCGACCTTTATAATTAACCTTTCTAACTACTACTACTACGTAAAGTAGCTTATTTATCCCGAATTATATAGCGGTTTTTATATTAAAATCACTATACTAAGTTAAGCGCGTACTTAGGGTATATTATACGTATTATATAGTTAAAAAGTATACTATATTATATAATTTCTTTTAAAAGCCTAATCCCGTTAAGGTCGATTTTTTATACTTATAAAGCTAAAAGAAAACTACTATATAAGTTTATATAAACTAAGTCTATACGAGGCTAGTAATAAAAGGCTAGAATTAATTATTTACCTTAGTTAGCTAATAAAATCGCAATTACTTTATTAGTTAGAAAAAGTGGGATATAGCCCCCCTAGCAGAACTCTTTATAAATAGTTTTAATAAAACTATTAATCTTAATACTAAAGTTCTTATATTAAAAAATAAAATAATTAGCTTGTTTATATCGTAATAAAAAGTAAGTATTTATAATATATTTTAAAACTAAGTCCTAGTTAATAAACTCTATTCTTAAATAGCTTTAAATAGTGTTTAGGTTATTTTTAATATTAATATATATAATATAAGCCTATAGGTAAATATAAATTTATAGTTAATAAAAGCCGGCAAGTATATAAAGATTTTCTTAAGCTATTAACTATAATTAAAGGGCTCGTTTATATAAACTCGATTATTAAAGTTCTAAATAGCTTTATCCTCTATAGCCTTTTTATTATAAATAATATCGAGCTTATTAACTAGCCCTTAAGGCCCTTTCTATTTCTTTTAAATATTAAAAGAAATATTTTAGTTTATTTAAAACAATATAGAGTTAAAGTTAAATATCGGGCTAAATAATTATTATTATTAACTTTATTACTTTTTTAAAATTTATTATATTTATTTTGAAATATTTAGTATCAATTTATATTAAATTAATTTAATAGACTTAATAAAGGAGTTATAGCTTTTATAGCGTTTTATTGAAATAAAACTAAAAGTATATGTCACGAAAGGGAACTCGAGGCAGGTCGGAACGCTGCTATATTGACCTAATAGACGTAACTCAACGTGAAGAGGGAAAAAGTAGACTAGTGGGCGGAATCTGGGGCGCTGGGCTTTTGGGCTTAGCGGTCCAGTGGTCACGTGACCCGTAAGGGGTCCGCCGGGTGCCTGAGGTTCGGGCGCACAGCTGGGGCCTAGTGCCCAGTGCCGTGACATACAATTATATAAAGAACTAAAATCGGTAGTATTAATTACCTAGGAAGTATTAAAATATACTTTAATATAAAAAGTAGAGTTTAAAAAAAATAAAAAAGTCTTTTAAATATTAAATTTTATTCAAAATAATAATATTTTAAATTAATTAGGTTTATATATATTATCGAGCTTAATAAGTTTAAAAACCCGGTTTTATATAATTTAATATTATAAATAAGTTGAAATAAAGCCCGTAAATTAGTTTAAATCCTTAAATAACTGTTATATATAGTATTTATATCCTATATTAATTAAAGTATTTATAAATTATTAAATTATAAAGCGGCTATCGAGTTCTTTTAAATAAAAGCGTTAATAAATATTATTAATATCTTTTTATTTAACAAAGGACCTAAAAATAATATTTTAAATAATAATTATTATTTTACATAGTTTAATAGCTTTATATTTAAAACCGGTTTCAAAAAAGGTCTATTACTATATAATAAACTTTTAATAAAGTTAATAAATAGAGGGGTCTAAAAAAGGTACGTAGTTATAAGTAGAGTTTTTACTAATAAAGCCGGAAAAAAACCACTATATAAATAGAGTTTTGCTATCTAGGAGGTGCTTTCTAGTTATCCAGGAGGTGGCCCACTTTCTTAAACTAATTAGAGCTTATATATCGACCCCGGGCTTTTTTAACTAATAGAATCGCTAGTTTAGGTAATTATTAAAAAATATAAAAAACGGTATATTATATAATAAATAACCCTTTAGGGTCCAGCCCGCATTACTAGGGGCCATTTTTACCTTTACGGGCAAGTTAGTCTATTAAAATGAATATCGTATATTACTATATAATAAGCTTTAAAACTAATTATAGCCGGCCGTAGCCGTTATTAACAGTTAAACTAAACTAACTCGTTATAATATTAATAAATATATCGAACTATATTAATTACTTTTTAAATAGCTAAAACTACCCCTTAAATTCACCCCCTTTTAAATTATTTAACCTTTTTAAATACTTACTATTTAGCTAAACTATATAATTTCTTAACTATATTAAGGAGTCGTTTTTATCTTAATATTAATAATATTCAAGCTCTTCTATAAAACTAATATTTTAATAGTAATAATACCGATCTATTCTTTTTTTAATTATTTTTAATTTCTTTTCAAGTCTAGTTATTTAAAGCCGTATTTATAGATTTCTATTTTTTAAAAAGTAATAGTAACTAGTATTATAGCTTTAAAGTTAAATTTCTTATTATAGAGGTAATACTAAGGATCGATATTAGCTTATATTAATATATTAAATATTGATTATATATATTTAAGTAAAGAAATCGGTAATAATAGCCTATAGTAGCTATTTTCGATTTTAATAAAAGAAATGAGGTAGCGAATATATCTATATATACGACTTAAAGTTAGAAGTATACTAGATATTAATAATAAAGAGG